GAGGGAGAATTTGTAGTTCTGTATCTGTAATTCAAAGACGTTTCAATTCATTAATTTCTTATCTCGCTTTGTGCGTCAGACTCTCCCGCATTGCGTCTGCGTGGGTAGCTGAACACATTGGATAAATAGCAGGAAAATAGTAGATGAGATTCGTAGATAACGATTTAGCAGAGTTTGCCAACTAAACTTTTCGATAGCACAACACATTCAATTCATTAACGTAACACGAGACATTTTCTACAGTGGGTAGATTTTTATACCTAGCTGGGTATATCCTTTTCCCCCGTGAGACTTCTTTTGATATTTTTTATTCTGTCAAAAAAAAAAAAAAAAGAAAAAAATACGAGGCAATGTTCCTGGGTGTTGAGCGTGGGCGACATGTACACGCTCGTAATTATCGTGGAAACAACGGAATGGTATTTACAATAGTAAATATAGGCGGTGGTTTTCATTGGAGGACACCTGCGTCTCCCTCTCATGCTGAGTCTGCATGAAAGTCCGTGTCATTATGAGTGTACGAGAATTTTTTTCTGATACATACCCCAGACTTTCATAAATGGTAATGCTTTCATGGTCCTTCTAGCGTGAAGCAATTCGCGTCCCGTGTGGTGGAATTGTATATAGGTTTTCACCTCGACTATGAGCATGTGTGAATGAGAATAAAGACACCACCAAAGGGATTGAAACTCAGAAGTCTCATTTCCAGGCTGAAGCCACGAGGTTATATCGGCGATGCCCCCTGAAGGTGCATCTACAGGATGTAAATCGCTCCATCCTGACGACTTATGACGACAGTCACTGAAGCAGTTGAACCAAAATGCTCCGGGGTCCAATCATCGTGATCTCTAGGGGGCTTCCATTCGTAAATTACAAATTAAAATTACATTCCCATGTTGATAAAGTCTCCCAATGTGACTCTAAGCGTGACTGAATCGAGGCCCATTAACGGAACAGAATGGTATAAATTTGAATTTTGATAAATCAGTGATTCTCCCGTTTCACCGGCCTCTTTTCGCTTTCGGATCAACATCAAAGCCGGTAGAAATCCAATTTTACATGGTTCCCCCATACATATGATCCTGAATATTCCAGGAATTGATTCAAACCCTTTCTCAGGAGATATTCCAGCAGTAATAATCTAATAAATCCACTCGGACCTATCGGATATGCCATTTCACCCCAACTTCATTCTGGGTATATCTTCTCATTCGGTCCACAATCGAGCTCTGCCATGTTTACGATTGAGCTGAATCGAAATTTATGAAAATTATTCGTGACTACCTCCGAATTTCACGTATTCAATGCAGCACGAGGGGGGAACCACTAAATTGTCGTCAGTCGAGATTCGAAAAAACCGTCCCCCCATTGTTCGGCATATGTGAAACAACCTGGATGTGAGCCCCACCTCTTTTCGGGGCACTGGGAATTCACTGGCCGAATGCCCAGATTTCCATGTACCCCAGAGATTGACCAATAAACTCCTGGGGGGGACTCCACCCGGAAGCTCACGTACTCTTCACGGTTTTCCAAAAGCTCCAATTATTTGGAATTCAAAATATTTACCAGACATCAGACATAAACAACCTCAACGAGACAAGATACAAATTGTCACCTGGAGATCGTCATCAGAGGAGAAGAAAAAAATTAAGCAGTACAAGTTCATCGTGGGCAAAGAGACAATTTTCACCAGAAGTTATTCTCCCGATAAGGGCACCCTTAATTTGTTAACGAAAATGTAGAATTTCCATGTTGAACATTGCATACGATCTCCAATGATAATCATTCAATTCCCAAATTGGAAGAGGGCAAATCCACCTACAGAACGAGCGATTGCACCCGATGATAACCCATACCTTCCCGAGACGACTGAAGTAGGTGGAGATATAAAGAAGGAAAAATAATCGCGATCCACGCTCGCAAACATTGCTGGTGTCCTTGGTCGGTTATTGTCCGAAGAAATTCAGACCACGAACAGCTCCAAGAGCCATACCCCAAAAGTAGGAAGAGGGAGTAGATCCAGAGTGCTGTACGTACACAAGTTTCTCTCCTCATTCCCCTGAAAAAGTTGAACCTGCGTGATTCGCACGGCTCGTGTTGTCCCCTGGTTTTGGCCGTTGGAAGGTCCAGATAACACTAATGGTGCCCGCTGAGTTACGCGCATCCGATGAATCCCTGGATTTTAAACATGCACGTGAATATACACCGAAAAGGATCGCACGAGCCGAAAAAAAAATCCCCCCAAAAAATTCACCATGGGATAAGGAACGGTCAAGACCCTCTCATCCTCCAAACCACCTGCTGTGATCTGCAACCAAGAAGTTGCCTCCTAAATCCCCGAAATAAGAAAAACGAGCATATCCACGTTGAACACTTTACGTGATTCGAAATTGTATATTTCTCAGTAGAGATACAACCTTTCGTGTTGAACACTCCTGATCCCTTATACCTGATGTCCTCAGGTAGTTATCAGTCTCAGGTAGCATTGCGTGTGGTTTTTTGATACGAGTTGCAGTTGAAAGAAAAAAAAAACAATCAGAGAAATCTGTTACGTCTGCAACAAAGAGAATCATAAAGAATTGAGTCAGTTGAAAGGGGAATATCTCCATCCGAGATGATTCCCTTGTACTTCTTAACTTCTTAACTATTTTACGACTGATTCCTTTGAGGGCTGAGCACAATCACCTGTTTCCATTACCGGAAGAATGACGCTGAAGAAAACACAGTAGAGTGGAGTTCCTGGAGATATATACTCTGGACGATAGAGTATGATCATGTCGATGACGATAATATATTGCATGAGTAACGAACAGGAACGTAACGAGAGTGCTGCACCTAGCTGGAGCAATGTTCTTATCTTTTCTTTCACCCATACAATTCCAGCAGCTGAATATATGGAGATGTTGAAGGAGAAGGATTTTTCTATTTTTCTTTCATCTTTCCACTTAAACACTTGGGGAGCATTTGAAAGATGACATTTTCCATTATTCAACTGCTCCTTCTCGAGAAGATTTAGGTGTCTCTTAACATTTCCATTTTCTTCTTTTTTATTCATCCTCCTTTTCCAAAAGGTAGACTCCCTCTCTTCTCATATCATCAAGATCATATTCTACCTCTTCTCAGTGTGACTGAAAATTCCCGTGAAATTATCCAGAGACAGCGGCTCGTTTATCGTTTTTCCACACTTAGTGTTTCTTAGGAGGTCATCACATGGTCGTGCTTTCAATTTACTTATTCCAAGGAGTATGTGCGCAATGGAGTTAGCCGGCTTGACTTCAGAAAGTTTTAACCGATTGGCCGTGACACTAATTGAACGAAGAAGATAATGCCCTCGAAAATCCCGAGTTCCAGACAATCCACAAGACTCAAAGCCAGAGGTATATGCTCTTGGTTTGTCTTTCCCGCGGGAGCCAATCAGACGTTGGATGAAGCAAAAACACGGATTTATGGCCCGTAGGCGGTCCAAACATCGCAAAAGAGGTATAGAAACTTGAAAGTAACTGTAATTACATCGCTCATGGAATATCCACCAAGTGGTGTTTAATTGTTTTTTGCTCAAGCGTATGCCTTAATTGAATTATTTAATATGGTTTTCAGCTACTGAGTAGCCGGGTTTACCCAGTGGTCAACAAATCTGAATGCTGGAATTCCTGGGGTGGCTATAAATCTCAATGAAGGGCTGATTATGCACGGCTTTTCATTAAGCAAATTGAATCCGTGACGATGGCAATCGTCCGGACTAATAAATAGCTTGGGATTTCCAGTCTGGCTGAGGGGTGAGACGGATCAAATGCGCATCGGAATGGACAGCGTAATGGCTGGTGGATTGGCATTGCATATTTACGGGGTGACGGTAAATACCTCATTTTGTTCAATGTACGAGCACTCGGTAAATAACCTCATTCCACTGGGAGCCTCCAGTCGTCTCTAATTACCAGCGAGTAATGAATATTGGGATGCATTCTGCATCAATCGGCATATCCATTTCGCTTCTGTCCAGAATTGACGGGAATCGTTGAGAAAAATATTCAGACATCCGATGCTCATGTTCACCATGATAACATGACACACATCTATGCTAATTTTATTAAACTCATGACAATGCTGGATAATTCAATTATCCTGTATTTACGTTATGTTTTGGTGATTAGAATTCATTCATGGGAATTTGATCTACTGTTTGAACATTTCGTCCTGAAAACTTAAATTTCTAAAACAGTCGACGGAGGTGACGTAGGGAGTCACATAATTGAAAAACCTATCCTTTGATTTGTTCTTTTTTTAAAACTTCCTCTTGAGTCCATCCCACGAATGAGTCCGGGGCGCCTGAGAAGAATTATTGCACTATCCCTGCGTCGTACCTCTTCTGGTTGCCGCGCTCATTACCCAGGCCACGCGGGCCAATTAAAATTTGGAACTCCTGGGACACGCGATGGTAGAAAAAAAAAACCTGTAAACCAGGTATCCAACTTTTTTGGAGATATATCCGGCAAAAAAAAGGCCCCCTCCCCCAAAAAACCCCCATAGAACAAGTGCCTCGAAAAAAGGATTTTTGTGGTGACTTTATGGGGATATCTCTTGGTCTTTTGGTATAAATTCGAGTGTGATGGGCTCGTTAAAATTCGACACTGGGAATAGGGATGAATTCAGCGGGGGGTAGAAGGCCAATTACGGGAATAAGAAAGTGAATAACTTTTTATATCTCAGACCTTCTATTTCTCGGGTGAATGATCATCTTCACTACCTGACACCTTCACGATGATTATCTCGGGCCATCAAGTGGAGAGGGGTTGAAGAATGTCACAGTTTTATTTCCAGACGAGTCTTTTACATGTTGAGAGAGATATGTGTGTGGAAATCTCTTAGAAGCACCGATATTTCATTTTCAACGAGCCCAGAATGTCGCATTTTTAACATTAAGGAAAATGGAGATGGAAAAATAGGTTTGATGAAGGAGGAATTGTACTCATGAACGTCTGCTCCTCTCCGATGCAACGAATATCAATGATTTCAGTGCCGGATAAGGCTATTCTTATTCTCGGCATGAATTTTTCAGACTTCCGGTTAAACATGGATATGGGCTTAACAATGTTACGGCCTTTGTGCACTGAATTTAGAAGAGAATTTCAATTTTCAATCGTGCGGTTGAAATAAATTTAAAGGGGAATCGATATCAGTGGAATTATTGTGAGTGAATTTTTCGCAATATTGAGTGAAACGAAATGCAGATTTTGTCCACTAACCGGAAATCTTTGAAATCCATTGAAAATCATTGATTCATGTTTTATTTAATGGTTTATGGTTCAACAATAAATCTTCACATATCAGTTATTTTCCTGCTTTCCATTCCTCATCGTCCGTTGCTTCACAATCCCTCATCAATTGTAAATCCCCCAGAATACTGGAGCTCGTTAAAATCCAGAATAACATCCCACCCTTGTGTTCCAGAAAGGCGCATTCTCGTCTCAACAATGACTGCAAAAAGAATAATGAGAAATTATTGTTGTAACTCGACAGTGCAAACACGATCGTGATACGTCATGATTTATTGTTAAATATAATTGCAGCTGAATCCCAGGTACCGAAATAACACTTGGTACAGACACGAGTGAGTTTTACAAGATATCGTAACAAGTAGTTTGAACGACTAGCTATTAATTACCAGGACACACACGTAGGACGTGTAACGACTCTTTGTACATTCTCCACAAGACGTGTAATCCACCTCCACCCTAAGGCCCTGGAAGAGGGGAAAAGGAGCTCATCGATTCTTTAACACGTTCACAGTAACGAACATCGATGGAGAAATGTTTGTTACTTTTAACCATCTTGTTATTCCTGTATACACGATCGAATAAGACGAATTAAAAAATATTTTAAACTCAAAACATCAACTGCAATTTCCATCAATGAATAACTAATAAACCAGTTGATTATCAAAAGCAACTGGAGATAAAAAAAAAATTCAAACGATCAAATGAAAATATGAGAATGAAAATCAAATTTTCACCACCTGGAGTTGAAATTCCGTGACATCTCAATAAAGTCGATAAATTAAATCATCAAATTCGAATCAATGCCTCTAATCTCCCCCTGGAATTCATCACCATGCACACCTCACCGAAAATATTTACCAATTGCATAAGCTCGGTATTGTGCATCCGTACAAATCCAACAGTTTGTGTACAAAACACTGTATTGACACATTCAGAGCTGTCCATTAGTCTGATGCCTGAATGCCAACCCAGTGATACATCTCCAACACCACGAATATCCCTGTTTATGTACAGACACGTATCCAAGAGATCCTGGGTTCACCTAGGATTCCATTGAGAATTGCATCCGTGTGACGTGTGTTATGCTGACTCCAAAGGCCATTATCGTACCATGAGAATTGTCTGGGGCTTGGAATGCAGTCACGTTTTGAGAATAAACCATTTTCCCCCTTCTTTCAACTGGTAGTATCGATTAAGTTCTGCCTAACGGAGCAAAACATCTCAGTTGTATCACAAGAGTTTCAACTCCAGGGTATAATGAAAAGCCATAAGAAAGATCTTCATGACATGTAATTTTTGATAATTGCATTAGCTTTATGATTATTAAGGCCCAGGAATTTATGTTTCATCGGTTTATGTAAGGGAGCACGAAATGCCAAATATTACCACCGAACAATTACGGGTGGTTTTATTTTTTTGGGATAAAGGGAGAAAATGTGGAACCATTTGAACGTGATCCACAAGTTGTATTCTGGTGAGGTACATCACCTTTTCTCTTTCTCTGATGTGGACGTGAGCGTGGCCAAGGCGGCATGCCGAGAAGTACTTAAATCTCAAAGGCCTTGAGGGGGATAAAAGTGAGTGTACTCAGTCCAGTACAATCAGAATCATTGGGATATTCCTCATGGTGGGGCCAATTACAAAAGCCAACTTTCAACGAGGCTTTTTAATTGACCCATGAGAGGAGAATAAAAATAACTCGGTCATTCCACTGTCCCAGCAAATACTGATGGAATTGGGAATTCTCACTGGGAATATCACACGAAATGTCTTCAGACGATTAAAATTAATCGCTCTTTCTTACTTGACGGTCTCATATTGACCTTTCTCTCTGGGTTTTGTACACCTGTCTGTCAAATATCTTCGCAGGCTCTTTTCAGATTGTTTTTGCAGCCGCTCGCGACAATCCGCGGATTGTGGTAACGAAGATAATTTTGTTGAATCTTATTGGGAAAAAAAAAACTGCCATCTTGACAGTTGGCCATTTTTCCTCTACCCTCATGGGAAAATAAAACAGATAAAAAGTTATCTAGGATCGAGAAATCAGATTCTCGGAGGGTTAAGAGTTTAATTCGACGAATTGATCGACGAATTACTCGGGTGTAATCCCAGCATCCTGTTTTTCATGAGGTAATCGTTCACAATTACCTTCAAGATTGGAATCTCTCTGGTTTTCTAATACGATCGGAATGAATAGCATCCCACGGAATTGCCTGGAAAAATCCCATTTATTTTTTCTCCAACCTATTGCGCACCACAATTCCCACGTGAAAACGTGACATTTGTTGATTCTACAAATGAATGATTAATAGAAATGAATGACGTTATGAGAGAAAATTTTTATCCTATCACTTTCACCTGTACAGGAAGATGACTCCAGCAATGATTGCTGTATGGCGTGGGCAGTTGATTTCCCGATTTTATTGGACTCAGTTCAGGTCCGATGGGGGATTAAAACCGGATTAGTTGACCCCGGTGGAGTATTATGAGGAGAAACTTGACATCGAGCAGGAAGTGTGAACGAGTCCTTTTAGCAGAATCTAAATGATTAGGAACGGGACGTTGATGAAATTCCCGTTTTCAAATGCATTAGCCAAGGTTTTATGAGAATGATAATTGACGTTTCGTTAGGTACTCATAACGAGATGAGTCGATATGAGTCGATATGAGTGGAGATGAGTCGAGATGAGTCGATATCAGTCGCCATGAGTCGACAAGAGAATTAATTACCCAGTTTTGCTCTTTCTCTGAGCCTTTCATTTCGTAAACAATCAAAATTACTTTATTTTATGAAGAGCCCCTTAAATTAACAGCTCCACCAGAATGAACTACTTGCGACTAAATGTGGCGAATCAAATTCACCTTGCATAGTTCACCCTTTGGAGTGGTTACAGTGGTCCACAGTGCGTTCGACAGTCCCGTAAATTCTGCGGTGAATACCTCGAGGTCAAACTCTGGGTTAATCTACCCGCGAGATACCCCATCTAGAATATTCCGCAATTTATAGTCGCACAATTTCGAGGAGCGGCGTGACCTATCGTGACGTTTATATCGAGCAGAAAATTAGAAGAATTTCAAATAGGCAATCAATTTTTCTGACAATTTCTGAATGCAGCCGCATTGCCGAGTACCCACCGTTAAATTACACTCTCAACTCCAGTAATTCCCTGGCAATTGATGAAAATTCGCTTGTTCTCCCATGACGATAAAACGCAAACAATAGATTGTTTAAGTTATGTTTCGGGTGAAATGCTGTTTTATTATCTACCTCAGTGGTCTGATGAATATACGCAATTTCTCGTGTTGCCATGAGAAACTTTATAAATCACTGTCAACGATAAGTAGAGGGCGGTTTTGGTGGAGTATTGCTCGAATGAAAATCTCGCGCACGAGCGCTTTACCGCTCACCTACCGCCAATAAAATGCCGGTGTAATTGATCCTTAATAATCTCGTCATGATACAGAATTACCCCATCCTACCAAATGTGGTTTTCCGTTCACGTACTATGTTATTACACACAACGATTTAATTACAAAATTAATACCATCCATTAAACTTCCTATCGATGGTTTTATTTTCTATACGGAAAAGGATTGAATCCTCAGGGGCAATAATTTTCGAATATTGGCTTGTGGAAGAGGATTTTTTTTTCACACGGTTGGTATTTAGCCATGGGTGGTACACAAAATTGTCCACTTTGCGGGTGAGATGATACCAGTTTCTCTTTAGAATTCATGATGTACTGCGCACTCTCGCGTGAATGCCATATCAACTGATAGCTTTGGTTAATACGCTTGGAGGTACGTTGGAAATCCCCAACCGGTCGGCTTTAATTAGCCGGCTGATTTGTCGGTGGTCTCCTGACACAGCCATTCCCAATTATGTTCGTGAGATAGCGATTCCCTCAGTAATGCCTCGGTGGGATTATTTGATCGCTCGATTTACACTTTCTAATCGGCCAAGTGTCATGCGAAGTGGTCAGACATTTTGACGTTGGCCCAGTGGTAGCTACTGGTATCATGTACGTAATTCATCATTAGGCATTAAAGACTTTTCAATTTGTTGATAAACCGTTCAAAACATCCTCCGCTGCTGTCATATTTATCTACGAGATCTACTGCGCACCCCCTGCACCGAATTTCAATTTCCCGCTTCCAATTGATCAACGGGGAATAATTTTTACGAGTATCGAGATATTTCGATTCTGGTGAACATCATTTATGTCAATTTTCAAAAAAATTCTTAACAATTGTCCAAAAATTATCACTCATCTAGGATTTTTCATACCCATCACCGTTAGTTACACGCGGTGGGTCGCGTGGCGGGTGAAAGTAGAAGCGAGGTGAAGAAAGCAGAGAAGAGCGTGACCGAAAGCGTACAACATTCCCTCTACAAAGGCACCAAAAAGAAAGAACAGAGAGAAAAAAAAAATTGGTAAGAAGAAAAGGTGCCCCATCCTTCTTCCACCTTCATTCCACCTATTCATCAGTCGTTTCACCCTCTTCGTTACCTCACATTCTCTCAGTTGAACCTCTTTACCCCTGGGAGTTGGTCGTCCACGCCCTCGTTGTTCCTCTTCGTGGTACGAGGGCTGCCATTAGAAGCACCCCGTTCCATGTAATTTGACCACGGACAATGTGGACCACCAAGCGCTCATGGTAATTCCCTGTACCAAGTAGTGGTTCTCATGGCAACTTCCTAACAATGGAAGCTATCAAATGATTGCAATTAAATTTGAAGATTAATATCCCACGGAAATTCTTCAGTATAACAAAACAATTACCCATTTTACTTTACGCAAAATATTGCTCACCGTAAATCAAGTAACCGCGCAAGATAATGAGGATGTGAATTACGTAAATAGAATGCCGGGAGGGAACTTCTGAGTTAATTAATTAATGGCCATCTAAATTATTCATAGCGAAATATTTTTACAGTCAATGCTGACATCTGCTACTTATCTATGCAGTACTCTCTTTACTCATCATCATCCTTGAAGCCTTCCTCGTCACATACTCGTATATAATTGAGTAAAGATGATCATTACGATGGTTTCAGTGAAGCACTGCTTCGGTGAATATCACAGGCGTCTTCAACCCAGTGGATTTATCACCGCAGGCTGCATCTGTCCGAGATGTGCCAGTTTAGCTTGATGTAAACATCAGTTGTTTTTCGTTGGCTCTTTTTGTGGAGAAAATGCAGCGAATGATGATGACGGCGGTTGATCGGAGTATTTTGATACGGAAAATAACAGTTGAAATTTCATCGGGTGGTGTGGGGTTGACCCAGTTATCGAAGGTCGCCAATGCAACTCTATATGGACGAAATTATTGGGCGAAACCTTTGAGGTGCATTCATCTTTTTTTTATTAACTTTTGATGGTGAAAATCTGATTTCATCAACTTTTCTAGGGTTTCAGGGCACCAATGCAGAAGCCTCTCGTCAATTACTCCAACGTATGAGTCCAAGTGGCGCCACAGCTCCAAATTATTCTCGTTTTCTCCTCTCTCCAACTGTACCTATCCATATTCGGTTATACCCACCATTCAGACTGTCTGTGAAGACCAAAAACGGTAGCCCTTCGCTGAATTTTTATCGCTTCACTGATATTCTAATATACTCGATCGTGTTTTCATTAAAGGAATATCATTTTGAGAGTCTGAATTGTATCAAATCAGTGGAAGAACTCCGGTGGTCCAAGTAGCTGGGCCAATTAATGGTCGGTATTATGCTGGAATGGTGAGGAGCGTTTGAGAAATTTCTCGCTTGATAAAGAGTAAATGAAAATGGATTAGATTGATAATTTGTTGAATTTATTTTCTACAGCCCTTGATGTCCCATTTTTCATTGGTTCACCTAGAGCTATAACCACGGTGAGAAAATGTCTGACCAGACTGGTGTCCTAATTGGGTTCGCAGAGGCACCTGAACCACTACAGTCAATCACGCGAGTCGTTTACGATGGCAAAAAACTATCGAGTGAAATTGGAGATGGGTTGCCTACTATTGGAACCTAATAGTGTTGCAATTCTCATTTGGCCAGTGGGATATTATTGTCGGCGTCGGCTCAAAAGGCTGCTCGGGATATTAAAAAAATATATATGGATTCTTTGCTCCCTCTATTGATGTATAAGTTCAAGTTTAAATGAGTTTTCATAATGGTGAATTCGTTACGCTGATGATCCAACAACTTGGCTACTGGTTCAATGGGAACAGTGCGGTTACAGGAGTAACTCGATAACCATACGTGATGAGGGGATCAGGTGAAGCTGATAGAGTGGCTCAAGTTTATCGGATATATTTCGAGCATGAGTGAACACGTGCATTCACCACAAATAAATAATTCTTAATAGCGTGGTGCAAATGTAGATGTAGGATCTGCGGCTTGCAGGTAATGAGCAGGGATTACTCATGGGATTATTACAGTAGCGCTCTGAAAGACGAATGAAAAATGCTCGTTAAATTTATGTTATGGGAATGACACTGTCAGAGGGTTTAATAACCCGTTGTGATTAATATAAATAGATATCGTTACGGATCGGTTAGGGTGTAGCTCGACATTATTTATCTCCGGTTGATGAGCGGTCAATCGATCGAGACTGAACAGCAGTATCGATCAATAGGATCGTTGATTTATTGTACTTCACTGGCTTCTGATGAATACCTAAGTATCGTTGGATGTAACGGACATATAAACAAATTAGCTGGAGAATTATTTAAGGAATAAAAGGTGTAATCATGATGTGGGTTATTGTTATTGATTAACACCTCCACATGTGGCGTCACTTTAACACTTGCCAACAGATGGGATGCAGAGGCGAGACAATTGCTCTTTCCAATAACTTAAATTGCCCATTTTCAACCAACCACACATCTTCTCCCGATGTATTTTTTCTAAGTTACGACGCAATCTAACCATTGTCCAGAAGATGCTACGGTTTAACGCGTTTACGGTCACAACGTGCCACTTTTCCAGGACATAACTTAGACCCCAAGGTTTTCTAACACTCCAGAATTATATGTGTGGTCGAATTTGTCGGGGAGACAACATGAGTTATATAATTTCTGTAGGCACAGCCTTATGGCCAGGTAGATTTGCTAGGGCAGACAGCATCACTTTCTCTTTCATTGTGGAACTACCGCCGGATGATTAAATGTCACATAAAGTATGAAAATCCATTGTTTGGGCTATTTCCAATTTTCTGGGAGAGTTTCAGAGCCCGTCCAAAATGTATTACCTATTTTATAACTTCGAGAATTTACGGGTTACACGAAATCGTTACTCATGGTCGGCGATTTTTCTGGTAGATGTTTGTAGCGATCTCATCCTGATATTTCGTTCGAATCTCCACCTCTTTTTTTTCTTCTTGAGAGAAACGATCTTGGCACTGGATTTTACACTATCCGATACCATCGGTGAGTGAAATTCATTGCAGTTGAATGGCCAAAAACTCTAATTTTTTCACGGCTTATCGCGCGATCATCAATTTTCACATCAATATCGAGGTTTTAATCTCTATTTCTCAACTTTCGCGTCATTCTAGGATGGGATCCTTCGGCGAAGCTACGAGCAAAGTGAATTCGGTATTTTTGGCATCAAAGGGCTTCACCCAAAAGACCTGTCTGTAATTACAGACACGAGGCGTGGCACCCACCAACCAAGAACAATGGAAACCGCGCTCCCGATCCCGATGGGATCTGGAACTCTTTCGAATCTCTCTGGGCATCCATACATCCAGGGATTCATTCCTCCTTTTCTCCTTCGGGGACGATCCCATCTCATGAAGCGCGTTCTCCACGGCGAAATATATTGATCCGATGGATTTTATCCGAAGATAAAAACCATTTGCGCGCTAAAGACTCTCCACCGTCAAATTAATACCATGAGTGATACATTGGATTCGGAGGGTTTTCCCCCCATGAAAAGTCACTTATCAAATTTCAATGCAAAAAAATAATACCTCCAAATTAGTCGAGTTACTAATGAATTTTATCTCCCAATTTGCTAATGAAAAATCAAAAAAACAATTGAATCGAATATCCCAGGGCTCATCAAGGCGTATCGTAAGCCCAATTTAGATAGCAATCACCGTGCAAAATGTAAAAAATAATTTTTGAATGAATCACGAATGGTGTAATGCACTACCGTATGATAATTAATCAACCCGCACTACGCATTTTGCATTATATGAGGCCCCTGATGATCCTCATTTGCTACGATGAGCGTCATTACATATTGTCTAACGCAACGCGATAACCCATGTTGAATAAAAAATATATCCTCATCAGGAGGTACGAGGAGAAAAGGTGCAGAGTGTGCGTAATGACGAGAGGCGAGAGAGGACTCCCTGATTGACCAGGGGATTGCATCCGGATAAAAAAAAATAATGCAAAACGCCTCGGTGGATTTAAATTGAATTTATGGCCATCTGTATTCGGAGATAATTTAAATTTTGCGAATGTAAGCAAAAAAATAAAATGAATGGATAAATTTACAGAAGTCCGTAATTAGTATTCACGTTTTTTACATTCATCATCTGGGGGGAAATTATTACTTACTCCGGTCGATGAAAAGATTCCCCGAATCACGGGTGCTGATTATTATTAATTATGATTACAACAAATTTTATGTCAATAGCCAAAATTTCCCTCTCTCTCCCGATTTTACAGGAGTGAGGGAAAGGAGGAGGAGCATGCTCTCCTGTGGGGGGGGAAAGGGGGCGGAGGGAGAAGAAGTGAGGAGTTCAAATAAACGGGAAGAAAGTTAATTGCCGGTACGAGTTTCTCAATCAAAAGTACCTACGCGGTACATTCAGGATTCTTGAAGACTATCGCCATCATCCAAATAATAGTATTTGGGTTTGAACTTCATCAATAACTTCACGACGTTATGAAGGCGATATGGCGAATGGCTGTCACTATCAGGAGCGATATATCGTCACACTAAACGACACCGATCACGTATCACTCAATTACCACCGACATTATGAAGCTATATCCATTAATTTTTTTCTTCTTCGCGATTCACTGGTATATCTCACTCCAGTTGACTGTAATTGCAGCGTAGGATGAATACCAAAGGTTGAATTGATGATACAGAATAAAGAGGATTTTCCGCGACCTTGCGTCGCTCCTTGAAGCCGCACACTTCATGACGCAAAGTGGCTCAATAATAGCTGGAGTAAGTACTCTCCTGCATGAGGGTATGTGAAGTACCCAGCATCCACCTGCTCTCAATTTTTCGGTCAAGTCGTCTATTAAGTCTTCGCCGTAAAAGCATATCCACTAGAGTATACGTGGCACCTGTCTCAATTACATTACAGGCCATTTGAAAATACACGTTTTGATGACATTTAATCCACTTGTTCGTGAGACAGAGATGATTTTATGATCGCGCTAATGCCTCTTGAAATTACAATATCTCCAGAGGAGTTGCCCACTGGAAGCTGATGATGACATAAAATCAAAGCAGGTTTTCAGATAAAGCCCTCACCTCATGGCCAGTCTTATCAGTGAATTCTTATCGATGAATAAAAAAACCACACCTGCCCGGACTTCCCTCAATTGCCTGTCCCCACACCCAGAATTCCTAATTGAATGAACTTAGCGTGTAAATATACTGTCTGACAAGTATCTCCGAGGCACAAATCATTAAGTTCATCCCGTTCAAAATTACCACCCATTATATCAAAATATATCCTGTGAAAACGTTTTATAATATCATCGATTCACAACTGGTTTGACTCACCTTGTTTCTCTCAACGATTTTAACTCATCCTGTCACATCTGATGCCCGAGTGCCACAAAATATTCTCGCGATGCCCCGACCAGTCACGCGATTCTCAGCCCGAGGTGAGGGGGAGACCAAATCGATGATCAAGGGATATTAAATCGTTTATTGAAAATGCGATTTAATAAGACGCAATCAAATTTCTCTCCATACCAACCGACGCCTGAAAAAAAAAAGTACCTTTATCTGTCTCATTACGTAATTACCAAATTACCCAGTGCACTCTTCAGGGGGAGGTAAAAAAACAGCATTTTCTCATTAACATAGCGCACCTCCTTCCGGGGTTGTTTCGACTGCCATCTCAGATGGGGTGGCCCATGCTGTGAAAACTGTTGTGGTTCATTTGTTTTCATAACGGTGAAGTCCCCCCTTTTTGCGCGTAACAACGCACCTTCCACCTTTCCACCATAAAAACAGTGGCACAGAATGATTTACCCAGGAGGTAGGGTATCCTCGTAATAACGGCTAAGTAGGATCTTTATATTCTTAGCCGTGAGGCAACAGCGCCAAGCCATCGGACAGCGAGAAGTCTCAAGATGGAGAGGAAACGAGCGAATGAGAGTAAAAGAAAGGGTAGGGGAAAAATAACCAACTTTTTAAGGGAGCAAAAAAGAAGGGAGAAAAAAGAATGAGCCACAACCAAAGTGAGTCTCATTTTAATTAGCATCAGCTGGTGCGACGTGTACTTAACAACTCCTGGAGCTTCAGTGCTGCCCTCGGAAGCGCAAAGCAAAATCTCTCTCGTTCTTTCTCATCTCTCTGGAGAGTTTAAATTCCAGCCTGGTGGATGTTTTATTCAGGGATACCGCAGGCCTTTGGCCAGAGGCCCTCTCTCTCTCTTCATTCCTCTCTGGACCTCTCCTCATCCCTCTGGATCACCAACGGCTCCTCAGATGCGCCGTGCGTTCAAGTAGCCGCTACCGTAATTTGCATACAATCCACACTGATTCGGCACGAGGTAGAGATGAAAAGAGATGAGAATGAGAGTTAAAATAAGGTGAGGAGGGGGATTATGATGAGATAAACAAAGAAATGAGGTAGAGGAGAATGGCGAGTGACGAGTTCACATCTTTACTCAGAAGCTAAGAATATTCCGGGTTGAAGGGATTTAACAAGTTCGAGGAGATTATGGAAATATGGATTTAATTTGAACTTGTGTGTCTTAATGAGCCACTTGAAGAACTCTCGAGACACTGATGCAAGTCATCCGCTACAGAATTATTATTTTTTTCATTGGATTGACATCTGCAATTTTCTAGATTGGCTTCCGAAAATTTATGCTATCATTTTTTTCTCCGCACTGCTTCAATGACAACTGCAACACCTTTTTAAAGTGTCAAGATCGCGGTGAATGATGACGAGATAGGAGAGTTCCTAAAGAACATGAGAGCAAACAAGCCGACGATGGACCCAGCGAATTCCACCAGAATTTGGTCCACGTGTTTACGTTTGATCCCAGGTGAAGATCTCGCTCGTTTAAAAAAATACCCCGAGGACAAGTGACGAGAGAAACCAGGATCAGAGCACATCAAGCCGAAAAGCCGCGACACCTGTGATAACTTGTCAGGATCATGCCGTTGGCACCGAAAATCGCGGGATTCTTAGCGTATTCCTGGTTGGGCATTCCTCACTCGCAGATTCACCGGTATAAACAGTTGGAATTCATCGGTACCATCGGTTCCCATTATTTCACCTCATCCATGATTACCCGCGGAAATCCCCGCGAGAGGGATTCACCAGAATAATAATGTAGCTGGGATTTCTGACTGGAACCATTTGGGATTTTGGTTAGCTCTCCTTGTCTCAAGTCGTGTGTGAGTGGTTAATTTCATTCCGAATGCATATACCTGGTCCCTATTCCTCAGGTTATATTATGCAAAAGTTACATTTGATGTTTGCCCGAATGGCTCTCCAGGGCAATCTTCTCACCAGATTTGGCTACTCGTGTTACAATTATGTTTCTCGTTTTCGTCCTTTCGGCGTAGGCAATCCTGTATTGTTAACAAGTGTTGGTTAATATAGCATACGGTGTGTCCCAGATGATTGTATCAATGGTATGGAATAATGCAATTATGAAGGAATTGTGAGTGAATTGAACGACCAAAACAATGGCATCGATATAATTAATCCGTCAACGTGACACGAAAAGGATTGGCTGAATTGGTGAATTGGGTGGTGCGTTGCTGAAAGGTGTGGAATCCCAGGAACCACACGGGGTTGAAACTCACAAAATATAACAACCCCCCTCTCCACTGCTGTATGTATACGATGTGGCGTGCCATGCATGCATTATTCATTGGCAGAATACGACCCAGAGGGGCGGTTAGACTGAACACATTCAGGTGGATTGGATTTTGATGAATTTAATCTTGAAAATTTGCTCAGGGCATTTGTACAACAACCGAGTGGTATTAACAAGTTATTTTTTTCATCACATCCTATACCCGTTACTTGCCCACACACTTTGGCATCGTCAGCCTATCACACTGATAACTCCTCGAGGGTTGATTGCTCTACGTAATTCTGCAGCATCAACATTGAAAATGAGATACAGAAGCAAGACATCATCAAGGATTCTCCCACAGGGATTTTATCTCCAAGCACGATCCGTGAGTTGCTTTTGTTCAAAATGCCTTTTGGACGAGTTTCAGAATTAATTATCGAGTTTGGCGGCTACCTCAACCCACTGTATTCCCTCGCTTCTTAGTTTCTTTCAGCCACCCCTCTTGTGACAATGATGCATCGGACGATTCGTCAACAACTCCTTGGGCCGAAACACCCGCCTTCGGGCGTCGAGGAAAGACAAACGGTCTGTCATTACTCCGAATCGTCGTGAAGAGTGCCACTCGAGGGATTTTGTCTCATCTTCCCTCCTCCTCATCGTTTATTTTTTCATTCAATTCACCATTTTGTTCATTCGAATTCACTCGTCGGTTATATATCACGGATGAGGTTCAACGATGCACGTGTATAACGCATCCTGAATATGCAATGATGGCTGCATATGTATCATGGAATACATATTCTCAATAATAAGCATTGCGCAATATTCATTGGGCCGGGGGTCCGATAAATCATTGAGTAATGGGTTTCTGGTGAGTAACGAAGCCTCAACCAAGGGCTGGCCTCCACCATTTTCTCCACACTGTGTGGGTGAATTTTACGAGTTCTGGCTTTTAGGATTCGCGATGGACATCTGTTGTCCCACCTCTCGATCCACCATCAAAGGACACTGTCTGATTATCGATTTACGGAATCGTCTGAAACAAATCTCATTCAAACAATGAGTCGAAATTCAATCGTTTGACCGAGTTAAAAAAAACTGTAATTCTGCAGGAGCCAGCATGAGGGTAATTGGAACGGATATAAATCTCACAAGGGAGGACAATAGTTTTTCCAATGGCCTCAGTTTATTTACAATGCATCTTGGTATCTGCAGCTGTCGCATACGTCTCATTAATTAAGCCTCCACTGCCTGCTTCATCTCTCACTGTCTTTCTTCCACCTACCGGCGATCCACTCCGGCCCTTCGGGGCCCCTCTCCACCTATCCTTCTCTTCATCCTCAACAGCGGCATCGCGAACCAGACCCGAGACACTAAACCATCCACCCACACTTGTATCAAACATTCAAGCAACACCTCAGATCCTGTCTCTCTCTCTCTCTCTCTCTCTCTTTTCAACTCCACACGGTCGCAAGAATCTCCATCACCAAAACCCGATTAAGTATATGATGTTAAATCTCACACAGTGACGCATAAATGGTGGGAGTTAGGGCTGTAATTCAATGACGCTACCGCTGCGTGGCGCCATGATGCCGTGTCGTATAATGTCGGCTTCAAACACCACCCGGCAAAGTGGTGGGCCGAGGTAACACGGTAATTCCATATCATTACACGAGACTTCAATGGTTTATGTGACACTCCTGTTTCATACATGCGTAACATTGATTTCAGCGAAAACCCTGTAACTCCATCAGAGAGAAAGAAACGACTTTGTCGTCATGCCAATGATATCTATGCGAGTGTTGAGATCGTGATAAAAAAATACCCCTGGCTGTACGTAAATCAACTTTTCACTGGCTTCTTGGTAAAAAGTGCATCTCCACTCTGACAACTCCTGTCCAGACTTTTTGAATGGCTGCAAAAAACTTTTATGCGGATGGGTGGGGAGAAATAATGAGGATGAATTTTTGCAGTGAAAAAGAAACCTGTTAACCCTGATGCTGTTTGAGACTTCACGCGGTGAAGTTAGCAACGATGCCCGGTTAAAATTGAAGATAAGAGGCGAGGAAATGAACAAGGGTGGGTGAAAAAAGGATATTGTGGATATAGATGCCTCGTATTTTATCACGAGTTATGATTGCTGCTGGTGAACAGTCGAGATAGAATTTATCGCGGCCTGCCAAGACCGCCGATGTGGAATCATTTTTACAGATATCTCTCTCAGGTACTTTAGCACGCCTCACCGCGTGAGAAACTATAACCACTTGGTCAATATTTTTTCCCCTCCTCTCGTCTACTTCACCTAATATACTGGGCTGATGTGGTTATTCAATTTGAATATTTTTCCTCGTAAGAGAAGTTCTCCAAGGTGGTGATGAAAAATTTTCATAAAACTTTTTTTTATCTCCACCATTAAAACTCACTTGCAAATGCTGCATCTCGTGAAAAGTATATTTACAACGTCATCAGTGTGATTCGTCGTAAAAGTTAATAAAGAAAAAAAAAGAGGTATTCCAATAGTCGTTGGAATGTGAGTACAAGAAGCTACTAAAGCAAGTACTTGATGGAGAGAGAAGTAACAGCCCAGCAGCTGGCCTATAAGACGTCCAAGTGCTCCCGTTATTGATTTACGTTGATAGCTTCTCTCTTCTTCTGCAACCCACCCTGAAAGAGGGATTTCCGATGTGCTTACCAATGTGCACACATACGAGAGCAAGCGAACTTTCCGTCGGTTAATACAAACTTGTATACAGTGTTTTGAGTGTGTTAGGCTTCCTACATGCCAGAGTCAATGTAAACAAGTGAAATTTTAACAACTCGAGAACGGTGAGTTCACATTTGAAATCTTAAATTTATGACTCTCTACTGGTTATATCGATATAACCTGACAATAGGGAGTGTACGGTGGCTCGTTAGTTTTTCATTTCAATCTTCACTTCCTGCTATGAATATTTTGTCGAGTTCACTCACCCAACTTTGGAGGTATTCATAGTGGTGAAAGAAAATATTTCCAAGTTTGGTGCTTTTTCAGGGCTGATGAATTTCAAACAGCTGGTCCAGCCACAGTTTAACGAATTTCTCGAGTTCCAACTAATTGCACCCTGTGCAACAACTCGGGCAACTGGAAAATTTACAGTGCACTCCAATAGGAGAGACCTCTCTATCTATACGTAACTGGGTAAAGGGGCATTTTGGTGGTATCGTCGAGGCTCTTGGACTACCGAGCAATTATGCAATGTTACGGTTACTCTGTTGCCCATGGAATCCACTGGGCAACTGTGCATCTGCCTCGGTAAGTTTGGATTCACTTCAACAATGCAAACGTGTCTTGAATTTTCCATTTAAATTTTGCATTACCATTGTCAATTGGTGTTGCAGAACTCGAGACGCTGGAGTGCATTGTCACACGGAATTCTGACAATCGATTACCATTGCATGGTCTTGAGCGTCAAATATTGAGAGATTCTCAATGAGAATAACTGAAGAATTTCGTTGAGAATAAAAATATATGTCTCACAAAAAGATGGAACGATTATCAGCGGTCTCTTTTAACCTCCCTGTTGGTTCATACATCAACCAGTGTTAAATTAGCTCATACAATAAATTCTCCAAAGTCCCATTGGGCTCCTCTCCTTTTTTCCACTCTGCAAGACCTCGAGATGGTTTTACTTTCACTGGTAGCAGTCATTCTGTATGCATAGGGTAGCCAACTAACGCTGGCGATATTTCTTTTTATCTCGTGGTTGAGTATAAACCCCAGGCGGGCCAATGGAATGAAACACTCTTTCATCGTACCTCTGGGCGTCGAGTATCGCGTCTTTTGATTCCAGAGAGATATGGCCGTTTCCAATATCATAATGGTCTTAAGAAACCCGTCGGCTAAATATCGATGAAGATTATACGAATTTTTGCACCTGTGGCAGAGACCTTGAGCAAGCTCAGGGTGAATTTTTGCTTCTGTTGGAATAGAAATAGCGCCTCTGGTAAAATATTGTGGCAATAAATAGCCCATGAAGTTTATCTTCTTTATACCACTTTGGAATGCTAAATCCACTGATTGAGACGTGATTTTATGGAGCATTCTTCGACAGATGCTCTGCGTGACCATCAAGTCTCAAGCATTTAAGAGGAAAGTGCCGAGCGCTTGTTAGAATGCATTCCCCTCAATTTTATCTTGAACCATTTGAAAAAATATAATTTTGCGAGGAACGTGTTCTCTAAAGAGATGGCTTTTAAAATCTGCTTTGCACATATTACATTTAAATATATATCGCGTGAGTGGCAAGTGTAACACCTCGCGCAGCACCACAAACTGACATCTGGCACTCGGCAACCTCGTTTGTCCCGTTTGAAATCGATGTAATTGGATAATAAATCCGGGACTTTCGCGCAAAGAATCGTTCGAACCCCCTCAGGTTGAGATAAACGATGTCGTACCCAATGGTGCATTGGGGAATGGGAGTACGGCGTCCTCTGGAGTGACGCCTGCAGAACTTCTGATGCGGTAACAAAGAAGTTGAGGATTAAAATTGTAAATACTCAAGACAGTCAATTGATCAATGAAGAATGAGTTTTAACAGAAATCTTACTTTTGGCAACTTCATTTAGGTGTATCATTTTTTATTGAAAGGATACTTTGATACTATAGAGCAACCCGTTGAATTTAATGATAATTTCCACTGCTCTAAGAGTTGTGCGCGTACCTTAATGTTGTTATCCATCACAACATCGATCAGCGAGTTTGTTTGGCTTGATTGGTGATGTTCTTTGGGATATGGTTACACACTCGCATGATTTCACGTTCTCTAATCCACGAGTCGAGGCGTAACATCAATACAGAGACGATGGCCGATAAATTAACCGCGATACTCCTGGTCGATAAAGCCCCATCGTCTGGCGTGTCGGAGGTATCTTCCAATGATGGCATTTCGTGTTGTAGATGGGGTGGGAGGAGAATGAGAAAATCAGCGACGCGTGCTGTTCTGCTAGTTCTCGGAAGAGGATTGAAGCACAGGTGGCGCACCAGGACAAGCGGCTGATGTTCGGTCAATGCGCAATGGATCTTCTAACTGGTGATTCGTAAGCGCCGATAGCTATCACATTTAGCGACCCCTCTGGCACATGTTTCACTGAATGAAAGGCGTGGGAAAGCTGAGGTGACGCATAGCGGGAAATTGGAAAGTTGGCGGTGGTAATTCATCTGGTAATCAGCTAGAGTTAATGTACCATTTACAACCCTCAATTTACGCAGCTATTGTTTTGTCGCTCTCTAATTTCACAAACCGACGATACGCTTCTGCGGAGTAAAATATCCGGATATTTCAAAATTGACAAAAAAAACAACCCCTGACATCTGAATCCGAATTTCGTTTTAATGGATGAATTGATTTGAATTCGGTCTACGTTTCAGTGGGCCATTTCATTTTTTTCTACTGGGGTAATAGACGATGACGCGAAAGAATAGGTCAAGAGTGGATTCACCACGCCTTTCCATCAGGCCTCTAAACCTCTCATTGCCGCGCCTGGTATTGTTGTTCCCTCTCTTCCCATCTCGCGGACAATCCCAAGTGTTTTCGAAAGTCTCGCGAGGTGTCGAAAAACATCTATCGACGCCGGTGGTCGTGGGAAAGATATAATTATTCGATTCGGTCCCATCAAGTAGCTGAGAGAAAAGAAAAATAATCATGGGAACCCATGATATCGAGGAGAATTGAACTGTCGGGGAGGCACCGAATACTTAATGATTCAATTTGAATAAATTTTTTAATAGTCCATTTCTCGAATGATTATTCATAGTGGGCGGCAGAAGCATCGTCGACTTGTACACGGGATTTCATTAGCCTTTGACACGGAGATTGGAAGCTTCGTACCCGTTTATGCTACATACGGAGAGAGGCTTACAGGGTACCAGTGGGCGTGCAAGTACGACCTTTGAGTACCCATGCACCTGCATGACCCCCTGTGACAAGATACATCAGATGGACGAATGTTTGGCTTTTCCTCTCGCCCACGTACATCTTTACACCACCGGGTATTTAAAATTTTGCGCAATTCACCGATACCTCGCGCCTCAATTTTTTACCTTTTAAATGGCTGCAGGATTACTTAGTAAATGGTCATGATTCATTCGGCGTAAATTTTATATTATTTTATATCGAGTAATAAAATTTATTGCACCCATGAAGTTGAAAGGGAAAAATGTTTTATTATTCTCCCCTCCCTCTATTTGATTTTTTCTACAAACAATCGCTGGGAACTCTAGGCTGGAGAACAACGTGAGAGAGCCAAGTCAGATAAACAAAGTTTAACTGAATTTTATGCCCTATTAAAATCGCTATTTTATGATGATTGAACTTTTATGGGGTTATTTTGAAGTATTGTAAATCTCAGTTCCAATTCCATCGTATTCAAATGTTGCTGCACTGATATTATATTTTTTATTCATCAGTGTCTGAAATTAATCAGCAATTAGGGCAGTGAGACGATATGCCTTGAATTGATTAAAATTTTATAGCTGATAATTTCAGGTGGCGCGTGATGTGGCTACCAACATCATAATATCCCCTACATATTGTAAATAATTTATGAGAAGGTAAAAAACCTATCGGGAAATCCCTCCCAAATTAACAAAATCTCTATTTTAATCGATATCTTTTTTTTCAATTCATCGGCAATGAAATGGCTATCACCGCAGATCATTAAAATATTCTCGGATGAATGAGGGTCTGAGCTCATCCCGATCAAAGGATCTCCACAGGTGTTCGAGTCGAATTGTCTCTAATTCACTACGAAATTACATTAGTCCCGGATGTAACGCTTCGTTATGCATCTCGCTGGGCGTTTAAATATCCCCGAAGAGGTGCCGTATTTTCTCGGTTACTTCAAATCTTTACAAATTTCTGATTCTACTTTTTATCACGTTTTTTTTCAGCATCACAGTGCACCGCTTTACCTCCCACGTGAGACAGATAAAAGGGGACCAATAAAAAAATCGAGAAGGGGTACATCAAGACTTCCTCGTGATTTATAATATCGTAATGGGAATGCCGGGATGATACGGTTGTTATTGCTCTCGGAGATGTGGGGGAAGGCTTATTGCTGACCTCTCGAGAAACAACTCACGGATATATTGGTATATCCCGCTAAAGTTGACCGGATTATTCACCCTATTATTTTTCCCTGACCCCAAGACCTCACACGTGAGGTCTCTTTCAGGTACTTTTTGATTAGACAATTCATTGCGGCTCGGAAAAAGAATTACTTGAACACGGTACAATGTACCGGGTAAATTTTCATGAAAAAATTATAACTCGAAATAATTTGGAGGAAAAAAGGGAGCCAAGTGGGATGAGGAAGTTGAACGAGGTCGAATTTGATGGTAATGACGGAGCACGTGGAAAATGACCGATGTACACGTACACAACTCTCGTATCATTGCCCCGAACCATAATTGATTGTTCGCCACCGCCAAAATATAAACCGTGATCGATGAGAGCACCATGCAAACTGCCTTGCCCTCATACTACCATAATTTACCATCCTTGTTTCAAACTTTCCAATTGTACTTTCCCATAAAGTGGGCGCGAACATTTGCACGATTACACGGTCGATATGAATTTAATATGCATTGAAAAACGATTGTAAATCAATATTTTATTTTCACACGATTTCTTGAATTTTTCACTTCATCGCTCTAAAATAATATTTTTCATTCGGTGGTTCACACGCCGGATATTTTTACGACATTTTTTTTATTCCGGCAATATTTATCCGAGTCCGTGGACAGTGGAAAAATTGTATTTCACTCGTATAAATTTGTATGAATTTATTCATCCGACTTTCATTTTATTTTATAGACGTTACTATATATTCCAATTGGATTTCTGTGTTGCATTAATTGAAATGAATAAATTCTGGTGATTTCAATATACCTGTGCGGACGATTATTTCATGCATATGTAACGAACGTAAATTGAATTTTTATTGCTTCCCAAATGCCGAATTTTTTAAATAATTTTTTGAGTAAATAAAGCAACAATTGACCTCTTGCACTACAATTATTTTCGATACACAACCGTGGGTTCATTCTCTGTTAACAATTTTCAATTATTTCCACTATGTTGAGCACAGTCTGTCCTTCAAAACATTTCATAAATATCTACTTCATAGCCTGTGCCATTGAGATGACAGAATGGAATTCTATTCTCTACGTCAAACACAAATACCATTTAAAGATCATAATTTCACGATATGGTAGATTGAGTTTTACGAAATATCATGTCCCCTGTCACGTGTCATGTCCTACGTCAACAGAAAAATATTCTTAACCTTCAGAATAGTAAAAAATATTCCACAGCTATAGACTCACGGTCGATTGCGTTCTTTTATGGGATAAAATTGAAGGGAAAAATATTATATGAATGCTGGCGGGACAGCTGTTTCGC